CTCCTTACCTCATATTACTTCACGCGCTTTTAGGATGAGTACATTTCACTAAAGGCCTTGGCACACCTAGCAAGGTGTGCCAAGGCACACCTAAGTATTTGCCACCCAGGGGGGTTTGAATTTGACTTGGGGCATTTTCGTAATTTGCTTGAATATTTTTGTTGCTAAAATTTGGAGACAACCGACCACCGTTGGATCTCATATATACATGTACGTCGTTGGATCTCATGTATACATCAAATCAACATTGTTCAATGTAGTGCTTAGAGTTGTTGAGCAAAATGAGTTGCTCGTGAGTTCGGTTCGTTAAGACTTGAGTTCGATTTGGCTCGTTTGATCAACGAGTCTATCTCGAATTCGGTTAAAATTTGTTTGATTAACGAGTTTGGCTCGATTCGGCACGCTAAACTCGAAAAGATGAATTATTTATAATTTCGGCTAGTTAAAGTTCGATATCGACTTGTTAATATTGACAAACAAGTCATGCTCGAGTTCGATTTCTGATTTATTTAGCTAACGAGTCGAGCCGAACATGAATTCAGGGCCCTCGGCACGGCTCGTTTATAAGCTTTAGTGTCTGTTAGAATAACACTTGTGAGTTGTCACACATCGTTTATATGAGAAAATAGGTCTAGTTTATAAATCTAATTGGCTACTGCTCATTCTACCAATAATTAGTTTTGGGATCCCTACTTGAGCTTCATCTGGGTTTTTTCCGTTTTAGTGTTCATGTGCGTGGGCAACCGGCTCCGTATATGAACTTGGGCTTCTTATGAATGATTCACAAGTGAAGGGACGTGTTAGAATAACACTTATGAGTTGTCTCACATTGTTTATATAGGATAAATATGTATAATTTATAGTGATAATGGTGCTTTATAGCACTTTTATAAAATAAAAAATGAAATCTAGCCATGTTTTTCAAAAAATCAAAATTTAGCCATTTTGGCTTGCAAAAGTACATAATTGCCCTTAAAACCATTTTTTCTTATGTCAAAAGCTTTAAATAACCATTACTTTTCATAAAAAATGAAATCTAACCATTTTATAAAAATAAAAGTGTTATTGCCCTTTTATAGCACTTAACCAAAAACAAAAATCATCAAGAATAAGCTAAAAAATCTCAAATTTCAAATATTTGAGAAATGAGTAGAATAAATAATACTCCTCTTTGGGAA